TTTAAGACCCCAGACGCTATATCCTTTGATAGCCAGGCACCATCAGCTTTCTTCACCACATTTGCTTATGCACACATTTGTCTTCAGTGATCATATCAGGGAGGTGTGATTACATTCTTGGAAACATTTTTCAAACTCATCTGTGTGAATGGCTGGCAGCACCTCCGACATCAAATTGCTGTCCTTTCTTTTTTTGTTGTTGAATGGGGGCTCTTACAGCTCTTATAACATTCCATACTTCAGTTGTATCAAGCATATTTGTACATTGTGTTTGGGTGGACTAGAGAAACAAATTCATAGACACTTATAAGTGTGTAGGAAAGAGCTTTATATACAATAGCAGTTGAATATTGAGAAAATATCCCAGCTCAGTCCAGATCAAGTCCATAAGTCTGATATTAGCTCACATGTCCAATACCAATCTTTAAAGTCCTCTTCAGACTCACAAAGCACATGCAATGACGCCGAATGCAGGAAGATCACAGACCAGTGGGTGTAAAGTCTTATAGATGCAGTGGTGGTAGAAGCATCTCAGTGTTGGCAGGGGTCTCCATGTGGCTCCTTCAGTTCCCAGGGCACAGCAGTCTGTCAGGGAAGTGCCTTGATGTCTTGCCAGTAGAGCATCTCTTGGGGAGTGAGCAGAGAGAGAGAGTGTCTCCTGTCTCCAAGGAGGAAGTCAGCAATTCCCCTAATCCTCAGGGAAAGGCCATGCCCACACAGAGGCCTCATTGGCTATACAGTGATTGACAGGCTAGACTCCACCCATTCACTTATAATCCTCTGAAATTGACAACAGGTTATACAACTACCACATGCATATGTTGCCATCATCATTTCCAAAACATTTTTACTTTTCCACTCAAACCTTGATCAATTATATATTTTTATTAAAATCGCTGTCCCTCTTCATTGGAGGGAACAAAAAGAAGTCACATGAAGCAGAATCAGGTGAGTTAGGTGTGTGGGACAATAGAGGCTTGTTGGGGTTTTTTGCCAAAACCTGGTGCACTGAGGAGGTGGCTGCATGAGCAGGTGCATTGTCAAGGTAGCAAAACCAGTTCCCTGTCTGCCACAAAAATCAGGCCTTTTTTTTGGTCACACTGTTACACAACCTAAATAGAAACTGGTTAACAGTCTGACCTGGTGTAACAAACTCCAAACGCACTATTCTGCCCCCACCCCCACCCCACCCCTGATGGTGGCAGCAATTGTAAAATTTTAAACAACCAAATGAGTATCATCTTGGTTTTTTATTTCACTTGACCAGAGTTTTTGGGTGAGGTGACATGGCATCTTCCACTGGCTTGATTGATTGCTTTTGGGGTTGTAAGAATAGCGCCATGTCCCCTCATCACCTGAAATGGTGGGGGGAGTCTGGGTCACTTCGGAGCTGTTCTTTCAAAGCATGGCACATTTCTACTCGATGTACTCTCTTTTCCTGGTCAGTCACAGCCTGGTGCACAAATCTTGCAGCAAGCCTTCTCATTCCCAAATCTTCCATTAAAATCTGCTGAACCAAGCTCTAAGATAGTCCAGATACCTTCCCCATCTCTTCAATGATCTGTTTCCCATCTTTGAGCACAAATGCATGAATTTTGTCGACATTTTTCGTCCATTCAGCAAGTTGACGGACATCCAAATGGTGGTTGGTCATCAATCAACCTTTCACCTTTTTGGAAACAAGCAATTCACTCGTACACTTAGTGTTTTTCCCATAGCACTGTCCTTGTAAGCTGTGTTCAACATCACAAATGTTTCTGTGGCATTTTTCCCAAGCAAGAAACAAAATTTCACAGTTGCATGCTGTTCTTTTAAATCATTCATCCCCCAAAAAAACAAGGTTCTAGTGAAACTGCATTTAGGAAAAAATTCACTGTGACCAGAGAGAACCTTCCCAGGTGATGCTACTGGGTGCACTAATTCAGAGCCAGTTGCTTGATGCTTGCCTACTGGGAAAATTGTGTACTGAAAAGCTCCACCTAGTGGAGCTTTTCTTTTGGGGATACCCCCTCGTATATGCTGTGTGTATGTGACTCCACACACCCAAGACAATGAGCCACCAGATGTCTGTTTCCATAACTGTTCAGGCTCAAGGCTCGTGGTATTTTTATATTTGTGGAAAGCTTCGTTAAAAAAAAACCTGATCAAGTACTACTAGAAAATTTTCCATACTGGAAAATACCATAAAATACCAACTGCCTACATTTCTCATGAATCAAGCTTTGCCAGTTAAATTCTGAGTGCAACCTTTATTGTAAGCCAATCTACAAAATCCTCTGCTAACTGGTGCAATGGTGGTGATGGTTTATTTTGCTTTTTTTGTGTGTTTTTTCAGAAATCGTAAAGTCACATTGCCAGAAAGGATTATGTTGAGTACCTGTAGTCTAATTTTATAACTTAAGCATACAAATAAATTATTCAGTACCGATATTTACTCTTTAATATAGTGTAAAGAGTTTGGGGTAAAGTATCAAAATAACCATGGGTTTTTGGTTCTTTTGCATACTAAGTTGATCATATTTATAAAATCTGTGAGCTTGAGAAATTTATTAAGAGTTTTGATCTTATGCAGTTTTTTTCCGTATTCAAAATTGAAAGGCAAATTGTTCCCTTATTCACCCACATGATTGTTGGGGAGAATCGGGGAAAGAACTCTGCGCTCAATAAACACAAGTGTAGTCCAGTCCTTAGACTCACCCAATTTGTATTTATCTGTGACAAATTTTTGTTATTTGATTGTTCGTCGCTTTATCGGGAGGTCTTAGAGATATTATCACAATCCCTGATGCAGTGAGATCAAGCCTAATTTTACAGTTGCTGCCACCATTGATTTGAGGACATTCTCTTTCTTCTTGAACTCTTGGATATATCACCTCTCCTTTTTATCCCCTCCCTCTCCCACCTCACCCCCCAGGGACACTTATATTATTTATTATGATTACTACGTACCTGTGGCTAATTTTAAGTCTTCGATGAGCTTCCCCCTCCCACCCGGTGATTGTGTGGGCCCTCGTTTGCTGTTGGCAGGTGTTCAGAAAATGTCAGTCAGTGCTAAATAAAGGTACGGCTCATAATTAGTGTTCCAACATCACTTGTCTGCCTTTAGGGTAGAAAATTAAGATTATTGGTATAGGTGTATCTGATTCTTAGTTATCTTTTTGGGGTTTTTTTTGCTTTTTAAAACCTTTATTATTATGCATGTTCTAATTATTAGAAATTTAAATATACAAAATGTTGCATGAATTTTACATAAATATCCATGTGTTCATTACCTAGATTATACCATTAACATGCCTGTACTTGATCTATTACATGTCTATTCATTGATCTACTCATTAATCCATTTGTTCAAAGTAAATTACAGATATGCATTCATAAAATGTTTTTTTAATTTTATAAATCCTTTTTATTAGAGGCTCTTAAAGCTCTTATAACAGTCCATACATCAGTTTATCAAGCACATTTGTACAAGCACATTTCAAGCCATTTTCTTTCTATTTGAGCCCTTGGTATCAGCTCCTCTCTTTTGGTTCTGAGATATCTTAAATACACAGGCAAACGAACCCAAAACTTTTGAATCAATTTTAACTTGGCATTCCTGATATGCTAGTTGGTCTCGTTAATACCAGTTTCACTGAACTCTTCAGTTATGCTGTGCTTTTCCCTTGCTCCATAGTGTCTGTTGTCCTGTCCCTCCTCAGGTAATTGGATCATGCTGATCTACAAAGGAGGTGATGAGTATGACAGCCACTGTGGCAAGGAACAACGGCGGGCAGTGGTGATGATCTCCTGCAATCGACACACCCTAGCGGTGAGGTGGTGTGGGCGTGGTGGTGATAAGCCTTGGAGGTGATGAGGGCCATCCGGAGTGGGAGAAAACTGCCGGCGGAGTCAGATGCATCAGAATGGACACCGGAAACCCTAGTGCAGTTTCCCCATGTCATAGATCGTCTCCGACCATACATTGAAAATCTGAGGGGGCTTCAGGAAGTTTAAAGATCATTTTATTTTTCCATGAAAGTTTTGAAGCCCCCTCGTGGTTATTGAACCAGGAGCAGCAGCAGGTTTGGGTCTGGGGTTAGGTAGGGGTGAATAAGAATGAAAACACTTAGTGGCTTCAGCATTGTTGGTTCTGTTCTGTCATCTTTAGGATAATTTTAATCCTGTAACTGAGGAGCGAGGCAAAGTCCAAGACTGTTTCTACCTCTTTGAGCTGGATAGCAACCTGGCCTGTTCCCCTGAGGTCTCCCACCTCAGTGTGGGTTCTATCTTACTTGTCACGTGAGTGCCCCATGTCTCTCAGTTCAAGCCATTGTGGTGGTGAAGTCAAAAGAATTGGTGCCATGAACTGTATGTGTGCTTTGTTGGTATAATTACGTGGTGGGAGGAGTTTGTAAAACTTTAATTGAAATTAAATTCTTGATTATGCTAGTTTAAAAGATGAGTAGATTTAATGGTTGATCCTAATAAATATTTGTATTCTTGGGGTGGGGTGGGGGAAGCACTTCTTTTGCTGCCCATAGATGGCCAAAGGATTTTTTAATACTGTCCAATTTGAGTAGTAGAATAATGAGTGAAACATAAACACTATGTCTCAATTTTTGTGAGCATTTTGCTTTTCAACTGACAACTGGAACTGGTTATCTAAAGAAGCTACCAGATCCCTTTTTCTTTTATCAGTGTTGCCCATTTGTTTTGTTTTTTATAGAGCACAGTTTAGGGAATAGTAAGGAATATAAAGGTTCGTTCTTAGAAGTTTGACTCTATCTGTGTTCAGGCCTTGCTACCTTTCTTGTTCCTCTACAGGTTTGCATCACTGGTGGCTGTTTATATTATTGGAGGCTTTCTGTACCAGCGATTGGTGGTGGGAGCCAAGGGCATGGAGCAGTTTCCCCACCTGGCCTTCTGGCAGGATCTTGGCAACTTAGTAGCCGTAAGTAATGAACCAGTGGGTTGAGTCTTAGCTTGTTTAAAATGTGGCGTGGTCAGCTTTCCTGTGTTGCACAGTACAGAGGAGTTTCCTGCAGCAGAGCTGTCAGGGCCGAAATGAAAACAGCCCCAGGCAAATCCTGAACCAGCTGTCCTAGTACAAAGCAGTACGTAGCATAATGGCTTAGCTTCTGGCCTTGCCTCTGTGAGATAGACACTCCCTTATAGATGGAGTTTGGTCAAAGTGTGTTCCATGGCAGGGGCTTTTATTTGGGTTTCCATTTTCTTGTTTTTCCCATGTAGGATGGTTGTGACTTTGTATGCCGTTCTAAACCTCGAAATGTGCCTGCTGCGTACCGTGGTGTAGGGGATGACCAGCTCGGGGAGGACTCAGAAGAACGGGACGATCACTTACTGCCGATGTGATCGCACTGACTGTCCAGCCTCTTCAGTCCCCACCAAAGCGTCCTCGGCCAGATTTCTCCAGTGTCTGCTCGTCCCTCATCAAGCCGCCTACTGCTCTTGCTTTTTGCTTTATTTTCACCTTCTCTTTCTTTTCCTCCGTTTTTTCATAAAGGTACATTTGTAGAGGTAATGGGGCCAATATCAGGCTACAGAGCTCTCCTGGAATCAGTAGGGACAAGTATAGAATAGTGATGATAGGTAAAGGGCATGGCGTTTCCTGGCCCTTAAAAAAATTTTTTTTTTCATCACGTTTTTAGACACTGGATTTTTTTTTTTTTTAAGGCAAACAGAACTTTGCTTCTGCACTGTTACTCCTACGTTACATGAGAATCTGATGTCTTGCTTCTTGGAACTACTTAGCAGTGATCACTTGGATGCAGTCCAAGTTCTAAAGCACTGCTATTAGTCTGAACCCGGGGAAAATCCTACACGTGTTTCTCCCACTTGTGATTAGGACAGGGAAAATGTGAACATTCTCAACGGCAGGTTGCCATGGGAGTGACTTGATAGCTTGAATTGGATCTAGGATTGTAGCCAAAATGCCTAATACAGAAATCCAGTCCTCTCAAAAGGGAACTGAAACTGACCTCGTACATACCTGTCGGGGTTTGAGGGGAAATGGGTATTGGTATTTCCTTTGCCCCTGTGTAGTAAGAGCTGGCAAAGCTTTTACTTCCTAAAAGGTTTCCCTCTGCCAATATTTCTCAACTGAAGTTGCACCTTCTTCCCAGGCATGTCGTTTTGACTTTTTTTCTAATTATTGGAAATGGGAATGGAAGTAAAGGGAGACCTCTAGGATGACTGCTGGTCTGGGAGTGGGCTGTGGACACCCCTGCCCCTTCTGCTGGGGCAGGGTAGTGTTGCACAACCATGGTAGTGGTTTTTAATTACTTTCTCTGTAATAGTAAACGCCTGAGCCACTGAAGAGTACTGGGATGACTTAGCCAGCAGGGGGCCTCTTCTCTAGGCTTTAGAGAAGAAAATGAAGTTTTTTCATCTTTGGACTTTCAGTGCAATACAGGATTGAGGGGTGTGTTTTGTTTTTTAACAAAAAAAGCAGGGGGGAAATGTTATAAAAGCAACACTTTTTTATTTGCATCCCTCCTTCACACCATGGTGTTTTAAAATGAAAAAGCCTACACTTTTGTATAAAAAAAACCAAGGTTAAAATAAAATGAAAAAAAAAAAAAAGTTGGCCTAGTCGTTCATGTGAAGTGAGAAGAAGTTAGCTATGGCAATAGAGTACGACCACTGAGGCTGATTTTCAATCCTTTTACTGAGGAGGAAAAAAATAATTAGTATTTTTGTTGTACACGGACTAGGGCCTAAAGCAGATACTTATATATGCCTTGCCTTAGTCCCACACACTCCTGTTTTATAAAGCTATAGGACAGAGCAGAGTTGAAATTGGAGGGGAGCCGGGGATGCAGAAAGAATAACAGTGGCCACACATGCCAGTTAAACACTTTTAGTCCCTGCAGCAAATCAGAAAGGTGCCAGTCAAGTGACTGGCTGTTGACCCTGCTATGGACGCAGGTGAAAATGTTCAATTCTAAGGGAGTGAGTGACAATAACGTACACTCTGGGCCACAGGTACAGTGGGACAATCGAAAGGGAAGAGGAGTGGGGTATGTATGGCCCATTTTGCTACTTGTTGTCACACAAGCTAGAAAACCCTACCCCTCTCTCCTGAGGGCAAACCTATATCCCACCCATTTCCTTTCCAAACGATATCGTATATCCCCCGAAAAGAACTGCGGTCCTGGCTAGATGCTCCACTCCAGGATAAGGCTGCGCAGCCCTGGCACTAGACTGCCACGTTTATAAAGACAGAAGGAGGGTCAGTGGAGAAGGCGAGAACTGAAGACTTTAAAATAAAGTAGAACCCAGAGAAAATTCAAAGGCTGCTGCCACACATGCAGCACCAGCAACCAGTCCTTGCACTCGTCTCCCCTGTCTCGGCAATCCCCTCTGGAGAAGGTTTATAGAATCAGGACAGCTCTTTCCTGTAAAAGTGTGTGAGCTGGGCGGTAAGGAGGGTCTGAGGCTGGTTTGTGCAGAGGGCACATTAGGTCTCCTTGAGGACATTGATCTTGGCGCAGATCTTGAGGGCAGGGCCCAGTTTGATGTTCATGGCACTCATAAGGTGTTCCTCTTTAAGTAATAAAAGAGCCTGTCCATCAATCTCCTGGGAGCGAAATTCTTCTGCAATCTCTTGGCAGCCTAGAAGGAAATGGTGGGAATGTCAGAAGCTGCATGGTAACGTCACAGCAGAGAGGTGAAGGGGGAAATAAACATGCCTAGTCATCAACAGTTAGCCCCAAAGTGGAACTGACTTTCTCCAAAGTCAGTTGTAGAAGCCTGAAGCGGGGCAAGCAAAATGAATTTAGGCAACTGGCTATCCAAGTGGAAAAAACCCAAGGTCAAGAAAGAAAAAAATGAAGTCTAGGTCAAGTACACAGCCTGGCAAGAAGAACGCCCCGGCAATATCCACGTAAAGAGCTTTGTGAGCATTTAAGCAACCAAGAAGATCACAACAAGTAATAGCAGGACATGACTTCTGTTCTGGAGAAAGCGATCCTTTGGTAAGACTAGGTTACCACCAACCTGCCTTAAGGGAAAAGGCCAAAACAGTCCCTTGTAAAGGGTCTCCATAAAAAATAAACGTTCTCCCAAAAATGTTGGTAAGAATATCACTGAAAACTGCAGAAGTCTTGGCATGGTAGAGAATGATGTCAACCCAGAAAGAAACCAGGAAATAAAACAGTGGGCAAATAATTTGAATAAATACTAAGAGTAGAGCCTTTGTACTATCATGCAAGTCATGCTCTTCAAAATAACCTGTTCCCTGATAATGGCCCATGTGGAATGGCCTAACGAAAACATGTCACTACGCATCCGCGTGTCCTGGGTTCTGTTAGTACCTTGTAGAGAAGCAATAAACTCATACACCTCCTCAACACTCCAACGACTTGGGTTACTGGACAGGAACACGGGGTTGATGCCATGTAGTTCTGGTGTTGGCGGAGCGGTATTGGAGTTCCCCAGGTCACGTTCTCCGTGCCCCGCTCTCACGGATAAAGGCCCAGGAGACGTTGGAGAGAGTGCTTCATCGTAACTCGAATTATCTGAACCCCGACTAGAGTCCTCTTGACCCTGTCAGTGAAAGAGAAATAGTGAAGTCAGGAGTCTCACCCTCCTCAACACCCTAGGTTGGAGTTGATAGTGGGCACAGAAGAAAAACTAAACTTAGCATTGCCTTTAAGTATAAGAAACTCATCGTTTTCTTATTCTTCCCTTTCTTATCTATATTACTAATAACTGGTCTAAATGATCTCCACAAATGTACTGTAGGATTAATGGACACGTGAAAACCAGTATTCATTCGTGTCAGGATGCCTTGAAATTCATTGTAATGCCATCCACGTGAGCCTAGAGTTTGAGTCTCACTCCTTTTACTTGGGAAGGGGTGCTGCTCGGTAGGAGGGAGCAGCTCACCCGATGGCGCTTGCCCTGGATCTTAGCACGGGCGATATCGGAGGAGCTGCGCCGAGGGCCCCGCCGGCGAACTCGAGCATAGTTGGCTTCCTGAAACTCTTTCATTTTTTTCCTCTTCAGTCGGAACTGGTGGCTACAGCTCACGTTGTACCTAAAGGAAACAGTATGTACAGATGCCAAAGGTACCAAGCCTGTTCCCATCGGAGCTGATCTAGGGAGGGGGTAATGACAGCACAGGAGGCATCACGTTTCAGCCATGAGATGACACCAAGGAAACAAGTGTGACAGTGGATGTAGGGACCAGGCTGAGGCAGAGTGGAGCCTGTAGTACCTCTTGGCACATGTCATGGAACAAAACCTCTTGGAGCCTCGGAACTGCTCTGCAGGGGCGTACTTCCCACAGTACTCGCACTTCAGGAGATTTGCCTTCTTATCTAGTTCTGAAAAACAAGAGCCGGAGAGTCACCATCAGTTTCCGCTATCCCTGTGGCCTTCCTAAGGCCTGGGGCTAGACTGTAATCATCAGGGACAATGACACATACTCAATAGTTCTCACAAAGATCTCCACAACCTAACAATCCCTAGCACAAAGTTCATAATCTACAAAGGGAGATGGTGGAGATTATACATGAACGAATATTAGCTATGAGTCAATAGTTAAAGCAAGGTGGTTGGAATGTGGGAGTTCATTCATTACTCCCTTTATTTGTCCTTCAAGGTCACAAAGTTTCTGAGCCCTCCTACCTTAAAACCAGAATATTTCCGTTCTGAATCTTGCCAATTGTAGGCTAATTCACACTCGGATTCCAGACATACTCCATTTTTTAATGGGAAAGAACAAATCTACCAAAGACTAGAAACTCATCGATCCCTTTCCCACATTTCCAAAAGCAGCAAAGGAAATATAAATAGTCTAACTATAGGTTATGGAACCTATAGAATAAGGAAAACTGCATAGTAAGGATACAAATGTGTTAGTTTAATCATTTTCTGAAAAAGAAAACCTTATAGTAAAGAAAAGTTATCTTAGGTTCCTATAATTCCTTTAACAACTTCAGTCTGAGTCTACATACTGATAGAGTGCGGTTTCTATGTCTAAATAAAAGAACCTTGGTAAACAGTGGACTGCTAAGCATAAGGTTGGTAGTCAAACCTGCCAGTTCCATGGGAGGATGATGAAGCTATCTGCTCCCATAGATTTACAGCCTCGGAATGCTCCAGAAGGGTCGCCGAGTCTGAATGAACTCAGTGGCAGTGGTTGGTAGGGAGGTGTATGAATAGGAAGCTCAGTTCTGGTGGGAGTGGTTAAAGTGTGCTGCTGCTAAGATAAAGGTTGGCAAATAGAAGCCACCAGTTACTCGAACTCCCAGTTACTCCTCCGAGGGACAAAGATGTGACAGGTACACAACCTTGGAAACCACATGTAGAAGTTGCACTCTGTCCTATAGTTGATGAACGGATAAACTTCATAGACATTTGTTTTTGATGACTAGCTAGTGTTTTATACCAAGTCCTCAAACACATCTCCATAAGCCTCCAGCCCCAGATGGGTTTCTCAGTACTCACCGGCAGATGGGCTGTCCCCTCCCAAGGGTTCACCTGATGGATTCTCATTCGGTTCTGTCAGGAGACCTGGCTGTAGTGGCTTCTCAGACTCTTTCAGCAATGGAGAACATCCCACCTGTCCCACAAAAAGTTTACAATTAGCCTACTTCTTTCCTACCTCTATGAGTTCTCTCTAAAGTTCCTCACCATCATCATGCCTTTGCCTGTATCTGAATTAATGACCTAGTCTGATTAAGACAATCACTTCAACAGGACAATTTGATTTTTCCAGACAATCCATTCAGTGGTGTCCCTAGAATGGGTGTTACAGATGTGCAGTAGGAACACACCCACACTCCCATGGACCTCCTCGCTTTATCAGACCACACAATCCTTAATAATGTTTAGTATTAATTTTAATCAGATTAATCTGTGGTACAGTTGTAAACTGTTAAATGTAATACCTTAAGATTATATGAACACTAACATTTTACGTAAAATCTTACGTTAAATTACATTATCAGCAATTGAGCAGAAGTCGTTTTTTTGTTGTTGCTTTTCTTTTTCCTTAGCTACATTTCATTATCAAAAGTTATTCGTGTGGACTCACAAATACTAATTATCACACTACAGCTTAAAACACCAGGAAATTTCAGAGTCAGCAACTATCAGCACACTGGCAGCAACAAAAGCCAGAGCTCATGAGTGTAGCACATGCACATACAGCCACGGGATTGAACACACCATCGTAATTGGCGATAAAGGCAGCTCTGGCCACAGCGCGTCAGAAGACTCAGAAGGCTGATGAACGGTTTCAGCCGTGTCGGTTGGCTGAGACAGGTAAGCGGGGCTTACAAAAACGTTTCTGTTGTAATAACTAACTAGTGATTTTTTCAGTAATTTCTGCTTCTACTAAAGCCATTGGGCAGGAGGTGCGTGCCTGGCTCCTGACCCTGGTCTCTTCCTTGCTAAGGTGCACAGAATGCCCTCGGATGTGAGGCATGGGTGCTACTCTTGGTTTCACACAACAACTTTAAAAAGTACATCTTCCTTTTCTTCTCTTTCCAACATTCTGTTTTCTCACCAACCACCACACTCCCGTCCTCCTTTGTAAGCCACTCTCTAATAAATAGCTTTGTGCCTTATGTCCTTAGTACAATTTGAAAAGCCAATCACACCAAGTTCCACTCTTTCGTCCCACTTTATGGCCCGACCCTCACCGGGAAAGGTTCTGCTCCTTCCTGGATAACGAAGCCTTCGATGATGTGGGTGAGAATCTGGGGCTTCACAATGGCCTGTGGGGGTTTGGAGTCCCCCATCTGCCTGGACACCATGGCGAGTGTAGGTGGTGCTGATGGGGCTGGCGTCGAGGTGCCGAGTTCACTGCTTGGGGTGTTAGCATTTACACCAGCCAATGGCTCAGCTTTCTCTGGAAAACAAGGAAGATGAAGGAACAGATATGGAGTGGCATGATTGATCCAGGCGGATCTACGAGAACACATCCTTTGCCATTGATGACTCACTCTGATATCTTTTGGGGAGAATGACTCATTTGTCCAGTTTCAGACCCTTTCCCACTGAAGTAGATTTAGATTTGTCTTTTGGCTCATTCAGAATTCTTAACTGTGCACTCCCAAGAACATTTTATTTTAGATGTTAGTCACTTACCTACAAGACTGTTCTCCTCCAAGGCCTTGGGGCTCTCGGCTACTGGAGATGCCTTAGCAGGAAGCATTGAAACCAATGTAGAGACATCTTCTCTCTCTTCTTCAGACTCAGCCTTGCGTTTCACAGCCAATGTCTGGGGCTTACCCTACATAGTTTATTGAAAGGGGGCAGAAAAGACACCAGGATCTACGATGCGAGATAATAAGGAAGCACACTTCTCCCATACTTTCAGAGAACATCTCCTTCTATAGTGCCCAGTCTCTCTACATCTTATGGTCATTCCCAAAAAGTATATCGCCTACATAAGGCCAAAAGAAAATGTAGTATTATTCAGTCCTGACTCAGAATTCAAGATGGTGGTTTCAGTCCAGAGCTGCTCTTCTGGTCTCGGGAAGGAGACTAGCCAGTCAGGGTGCGATGTAGCAACGATGAAACATACAACTTTCCTCTAGTTCCTAAATGCTTCCTCCCCGCCCCCACTATCATGATCTGAATTCTACCTTATAAGTCTGGCTAGACCAGAAGATGTACACTGGTACAGATAGGGACTGGAAACACAGGGCATCCAGGGCGGATGATCCCTTCAGGATCAGCGGTGAGAGTGGCGATACTAGGAGGGTGGAGGGAGGGTGGGTTGGAAAGGGGGAACCGATGACAAGAATCTACATGTGACCTCCTCCCTGGGGGAACGGACAACAGAAAAATGGGTGAAGGGAGATGTCGGGCAGGGCAAGATATGACAACAATTTATAAATTATCAAGGGTTCATGAGGGAGGGGGGAAAATGAGCTGATGCCAGGGGCTTAGGTGGAGAGCAAATGTTTTGAGAATGAGGAGGGCAATGAATGTACAAATGTGCTTTAACAATTGATGTATGTATGGATTGTGATGAGTTGTATGAGTCCCTAATAAAACAATTAAAAAAAACTGCTCTTCTATAAAAGATTCATTCGATCTAGGCCATTTTGATCTAATTTTAAGAACAGACTCAAAAGCCAAGAATAATTTCAATAGCAAAGTAAGAGTGTGAAAGAGTATGAGGTTCAGCTACGTACACTAACATGTTTATCTCCACTCACAAAGTAGAAGGTAAGTACCAGTATTAACCTCAGTCACTACCCCATTAATACCTATTAAGGTCTACCTCCACAAGTCTCTTCCAGTCCACTCTCAAGGTGACAAGTGTCTTTGAAACCACCAGACATCACTCACCGGGAGGTGCACAGACTGCATGTAGAAGGCAGCAGGAAGCTGGGCTACAACGGGTGAGGAGGTTGTTGCACCGCCCTTTACAGCATGCGCTGTCCCCTGCATGGGGGCAAGCGTCATCCCAGGGGCCAATGTAGGAGAGCACTCCTGCAGCGCACCAAGAGCCTGGGATGAAGGGGGTGAGGCGGCCAGATGGGCCTGACCAGCTGACTGCACTGCCCCTGGCATTCCCCGGGAAGTAGGCACAGCAGCTGCCAGCTGTGCCAACCCCAATGCCTGTGCCTGGGCTGTACCTGGCTGCCGGGTACCTACAACTTGCACCGGGATGTGAGGTGGTGGTTGATGGGTAGCAGACATCTTAGCAGCCCCTAATTGAGGAGGCTTGATCGGTGCTATAGGGGGTTTGGATTGGATGGGGATGGGTGGCTTGGGAGTTGGGTCGGGTGGGAGGGACAGAGGTGAAGACTGCAGCATGGGTTGAACAACCAGGGTCTGGGCTTGCTGCTGGGCCTGGGGAGGTGGGACCTGCTGAGTGGGTGGGCCCTGTGGTGGCTGAGGGGCAGTGAGGGTGGTAGCTTGCTGCTGCTGCTGCTGCTGTTGCTGCTGGGCCAGCTGGAGGTGCGTGGCTGTGTGGAGAAGCTGGGACTGCCGGTGCTGGAACTGCTGCTGGTGGTGGATGGCGATCTGCTGCTGGATCACCACCTGCTTCTGCTGCAGGTGGATCTGCTGCTGTTGCTGAATCAGCGAATGGGGCTGGATCTGGGTGTAGGTGGCTATAGGCACAGGCCCCCAACAGAGAACAGAAAATAACATCATTAAAAAAATGTAAAATAAATCATCTTTCCTGATTCTGATTATAACTAGTTTCAGACTCATAGTGAACAGAAATCTCGCCTGGGGAGGGGAGGGAGCAGGACTTAGATCCCCTCATACTTAATCCTCCCTCTGAAGCTGACCAGCCCACCTCTTCTAGCCTTCAAGGCCTCAAAACAAAGGCGGTCCTTGGCTCAACCATTTCAAAAGCCTTGCACTTCAACCTTTATTTTCCTGATAAACGTGAATCTCCTATCTTAGTTACTCTGTCCTCAGCAGAGGATTAGCACGCCATGCAGACCAGGAATGTTTCAAGGCTGTATCCCCAGCACCTTCTCAAGAGCAACGGAAGGCGATTCCAACCATCAGAATGCGGAGGATGAATGGGTAGCGGGAATCAGGAGAGGGCAAGGCAACTTGCAAAGTGCCTGCTACCTGGTACAAGCAACAAAAATCGATCTGTCTGTCCTCTGCTTTGGCTAGACTTCTGGATTTTTCTCTACTACTCCAGGGCCGAGAGAGGCCAGGAAGAAGGGAGGGGAAAAAATGTGCTCTGAAGATTTCAAACAAATTCTAAGAGAATAAGGACCTCACGAGAGGGACAACTCACCTGAGCTAATGAGAGTCTGGCTGGGAGCAGGTGTTGCTGTCCGTGTCAGGTTCATGCCCACGTTCTGACCACTCCCTTCTGTTTCTGCCTTCTTGGCTGCTGCACTTTCTGCCTCTGTCTGGCTGCCCTGGCTCACAGTCACGGTTTGGGCTGTAGGCAAGGGCTGTACCACGCCTGTGCCTTTTCTGGGACAGTTTCCACCACCCATTCCTGAAGAAGGCAACTGACCCAAGCCCCCAGGGGCCTGGCTACCTCCACCTGGACCCATGGATCCTGGGATGCTATTCCCACTGCCTCCACCAGCTTGGCTGAGGTTGAGGGACTGGCCAGTGGTTCCAGAGGAAGCCTGAGCCACAGCAAGGGCCTGGCTAGATGCCTGGGAAAGGTTAGAGGTAGGAGAGGCTCCAGGAGGAATGGCCTTCTGAGCTGAGCCTTGCATTTGGGTTCCTTGGGCTGAGGCCTGTTGGTTCCTCACTGCCAAGTTCTGCACCTAGAAATTAAAAAACAGACAGTTTTTAAATTTATTTTTTTAAAAACACAGAGTTTGGAAAAAGGGACAGAAAACATTAAACGCAAAGACTTCTGTGTAGCAAAGACAGCTATTCAGTCATATTCCACAGCCCACCTCAACTCATGCTACTACCTTTGTATGATACACATTAAAGGCCTACCGGTCTCCCAGGGAGGGACTTTGGATTTTTTTTTTTCAGTTTCCTTCATTCACTATCAAATATTTCACTAAACTTGGTCATATGTTTCTTCAAAATGCCCCATGGAGGCACAATCATGGAAGCCCCTTGGACGTGACCAAGCACCTCACAGATCAAAGTTCCTAGGCTCAAAGGTGAAGGGCCAGGGGCGCTGTGAACTGCTACGTGAAATGGCACAATATAGTTCATGAACACAATGAAATGATGGCGCTGCAGCCTACTTTGGTGAGTACGCCTGGAGTCTTAAAAGCTTGGGCAGCATCTAAGATACAACTGTTGGTCTCTTCCTGCCTAGAGCGAAGGAGAGTGAAGAAAACCAAAACTTGGGAGAACTAAGGGACTACATGAACCAGAGCCTGTGTGACCACGGCCAGAACGAGACAGTGCAGTGCCCTGCTGCCACACTGGGCCTCTCTGGCTGGGTCACAACCAAGTCCAGAACGGGGCAGGAGAAAGCGAAGAACAAAAAATCAAATTCTTAAAAAAAGACCAGACTTAATAGTCTGACAGAGACTGGAAGAAGCCCACAGACTCTGGTCCTAAGACGAACTCTTCCAGCCTGGAACTGAAGTCCTTCCTGGTGATAATAGCTAAGCAAACACTAAAATGAATACTTCGGAACACGTTTCCTTAGAACAATCAGTCACACGGGATCAGTAGGACAACATTTGCCCCAAAGCAAGTTCAGAGGAAAGAAAATAGGGGGAAACGCCGGGAGGAAGCAAAAGATTGTTGCCCGGGCATGGGCACTGCGATCAAGGTCATGGTGTACTTTACATCCCAACACTGGGCTGGGAAACCAATTAGCTCAGTCAGTTTTTACCTAAAGCACAATCCCTGCACCACCATCCCCAATTGGCCCCTTAGATGTTTTACCCTTTCCTCTCCATTCATTCCACATCCACCAAAACCCTAGCGAATGCCTCCCATGCTCCAAGTACTATGCTGGCTGGATACCAGGAATGCAGGAATGAACTAACACAGTCCTGCCTCTTATAAGTACATTGTAGTATAGGAAAAAGACACCCCCCTCCAATCACTAATTACATGGTGATAACTATGAACTAATATGAAGAAAGTGCTACGGAAGTACAGAGGGAAAAGAGATCAAAGTAGGGAGATCAGCGTAAGTTCCCCGGAAGAGGTGGGTTTGAGCTGAGCACAGCTGACGTCAGTGAAGGCGGGGCTCTGTGGACACAGCTGAGAGCACATCAGGCCATGGAGCCAGGAGAAAGCACAACGCTCTCTGGGGCTGTCAACAGCTCAGTATTTGGGGGGTAAGTTTCTGGGAGTGGCAAGAAACACAGATAGGAAGCTGGGCTGAGGATAGGGAGCTATACAGGTGCCGGATCACAAACGACCTACTGTATTAAAATAAGGAGAGACTGAACTTTAATTTGGAAAAAAATTCGGATTCATTGCTGTATTCTCAGCATCTGGCACAGTGCCTGGTACACAGTTAAAATATCCCCTTCCATCTTGCAGATGTAAGTGTAAGTCAGTACCATCACTTAGGGAAAACATGACATCGCCTAAAGGTGTTGGCTACTCATACACCTTATAAGCCAGGAATCAAGAAAAATGTTTGCCCATGTTCAACTGAAGGCATGTGTAACCATTCATGATAGCACTATGACGGTAACAAAAGCCTAGAAATAATCCAAATACTCGTGAACAGAAAAAAAGATGACTGAACTGCAATATATACACACGATGGAATCTTTTAAATCAATATGCATAAACTGTAACAAGCATCAAGGCAGATGACTCTTGACACCTTGCAGAAAGCGGCCCCAACATTTAAACACAGAAATAAAATATATCGTCTGGAGTGTGCTTCAAAACAATGCCCTGGCAGAGAAGGGCATGGGCGGACTGGCCGTGTGTTGAAGCTGGGGAGAGGTACATAAAGATCACTGTATCTTTCTGTTTGTAGATCTCTGACATTGTCCAAAATTAGAATACTTCTTCCAAACTATGTTCAAGTGCAATCAAACTGTACTAAAGAAAGGGAATCAGAACGAGCTTTACAATTGGTAGGAACAGGCAGGAGACAGCATTGGGAACTGCTCACTATGTGTGCTTTTTAATATTGAATGAATGAATAAAAATGGGCCATAAATGGACTAATTATTGCACTGTATCATGAACCAAGGCTTATGATAGCTGATACATTAAAAATACTAGCATTACGAGCCAGTCAGGGGGCGATGTAGCAACAATGAAAAATACAACTTTTCTCTAGTTCCTAAATGTTTCCTCCCCGCTCCCACTATCATGATATGAATTCTACCTTGCAAGTCTGGCTAGACCAGAGGATGTACACTGGTACAGATAGGAACTGGAAATACAGGGAATCCAGGACGGATGAGCCCTACAGGACCAGTGGTGTGAGTGGTGATACTGGGAGGGTAGAGGGAGAGTGGGTTGGAAAGAGGGAACCGATTACAAGGAACTATATGTGACCTCCTCCCTGGGGGACCGACAACAGAAAAGTGGGTGAAGGGAGATGTTGGACAGGGCAAGATATGACAAAATAATAATTTATAAATTATCAAGGGCTCATGAGGGAGGGGGCAGCAGGGAGGGAGGGGGAAAATGAGGACCTAATGCTGGGGGCTTAAGTGGAGAGGTTTTGAGAAGGATGAGGGCAATGAATGTACAAATGCGCTTTGCATGGTCGATGTATGTATGGATTGTAATAAGAGTTGTATGAGCCCCTAATGGAATGATTAAAATAAAGAAAGAAAGAAGAAAAAAAATACTAGCATTCACATTTATTTTAAAAACAAAAACTGAGGGCTGTGGGGGAATAGGGCACTAACCCACCCACGGGGATGGTATTGTTTATGTCTCCACAGGAAAGGGAGAGAGGGACATCCAGGTGTGCCCTATGAGGGCAACGTATCGGCATGGAGCAGTGAACACAGAGGATTGTGGGGCCAACCCTAATCCGAGCGATGGTGACCCCGTGCCTAGAAGAATGCACTACAGAGGACAGCACTGAAGATATAGCTCAGGGAGAGTGGCAGGCCTGCCCAGACCACACCAGCGCAAACTAAGTGAAAAAGAGAGAAAGGGGCACAGCCTGTCCAGCAAGCCTCAAGGACAACATTCCTGCTCGGAGAAGCCAATGCATAATGTACAGAGAACCTTGGGCCGGCCCCCCCACAACTCTCTCTCTCTCTCTCTCTCTCTCACTCACACACACACACACACACACACACACACACACACACACACACACAGGGGCGAAACATGAAGGGAGCGCAACAGAGCAGCCAGGGAGCAAAGCAACGAAGTCCATGTACAAACGTGCTTGATACAATGGATTGTCAGAAGAGCTCTATGAACACCAATAAACTGATTAAGAAAAACTTGATTAGATGAAGCCAATTAATTAGCCGTAACTCCTTATCTGATGTATTATAAACTCTAGCACTTATGCATAAGATTGTAATCCATTTTGAGAAAGTTCTGTTATGCTAGTGACAGGATTAAGGTGAGATGTATTATTCTGCATCTGTCTTACTAATGGGCTTGAACCAAGTCACCACTGTTTCACTGGGAGCATACCTTCACCAATGCCATTCTTCAGTGTGTACAAAGCCATCTCTAGGCGCAGAGAACGAAATCCCAGGACCCTCAAGAAAAAGAGCCACGAGTGGAACAAGTTCCAGATGCCTCCCTGCTTGACACAGTAGAAGCTATGCCACACAGAGACTAGAGGCCAAGGCAAGGAGACCAGGATACAGGGCAGAGGAACGGCAGAGACCAGGGACCTGTGAGGCAGAGCAGACAGAGGGCTTCTTGGTCCACCGAGGCAGAGGCCAAGGGACCACATTGCTGAGCCTGAGGACCTGAGATGCCTAATGATAGGGGTGGCGTTGGGCAAGACTATCTTTAATGTTTCCTAATCCTGGTTTATGGTAACCTAGTAACTTCCCTAATACACTCCCATGATTCTGAGGATTGACTGTGAGTTGGGGTCTCCTTCTCCCTCCTGTGGAGGGCCAAAGGAGGTTACAGGTGGACCGACTGCATCGTTTTCATCTTGCTATGACAGTGATGTGGAAGAGAAGTAGAAAGATAGAAATGAACTCAGGAAACCAGTCCAGGGATCTGGGCGCCATGTCAATTCTGAAAATAGCAACCCTAGGTGTGCCCAAGTAGGACTGTGCTGTTCTTTTCAGTGGTGGCTCTTCTAAGGGGCCTCTGTGTAACCCAGAACCTCTATCCGTGAGTGAGCAGCTATGCCCAGCTTGCACCACCAGGGACTGCAAAGTTAAGGAGACTTGCTAGAAAACTAGCGCAGTCATCCAGAGGAAAAATAAGAAGCTGAATTCAAGCAGCAGCAGTAATGAGAAGGTAATTGTTTTTGTGAGACAGTTATGAATATCATCAGGTTTGGGTGCACACAAATATTATTTGGCAATTATAGCATGTATCTAATCACCTTGCTTTCCATAAAGGCAATTTCAAACTTTCTGCTCTCCTTACGCCTCTCCCTCTCGACTTTCTTTACACAGAGAAAAGCCGTTGCATGAGCATGACTTCATCATTCCACTACTAAGATAGATACATTTAGCTGTGTAAGCCAAGACACCTTCCTGTTCTAGACCCTAGCTCCAACTCTCAAGAAGCTTAGAATACCCATGTTATGCTCTTTTCGACCTCTCTTCTATTGGCTCCAATGGCTTCACCCTCCTTCCTCAATGCTAAACCCCCAGTAGTTGATCTTACTCTCCATTCATTTAATTCACAGAACCCTCTGCACTCGTACTACTCCAGCTCCACACTGCACTCACGGTTTTCCCTCCATGGTAAGAACCATGCATACATACATCTCTAGGACGACTGACTCCATATATCCTCACTGGCACTTCCTAAGTGCAAAGGGGCAAAATTAAACTTTACTCTCAATCTACATTTTCTGGTGTTTTTTTTTCACAAATCAGACCTGCACATGGTTCAATTCACCTTCTTTTTTTTAAATCATTTTATTAGGGGCCCATACGACTCTTATCACAATCCATACACACATCAGTTGTATAAAGCACATTGGTACATTCATTGCCCTTGTAATTCTCAAAGCATTTGCTCTCCACTTAAGCCTCTAGTATCAGGTCCTCGTTTTTCCCCTCCCTCCCCACTTTCCCTCCCTCATGAGCCCTTGATAATTTATAAATTATAATTTTGTCTTATCTTGCCCTATCCGACTCTCCCTTCACCCTCAATTCACCTTCTACAATGATTTGTCTTTCTACATTTTCTCAACCTATCCATTTTTCTTCACCTTCTACCTGCCTAATTCACAACACCAACTGTGCCCTAAAGGGTTACAACCTTCTTGTTTTCCCAGGATTAGTTCACACCCTTGCCATTTACTCTTCACAGAGACGCCAACATGGTCACTAGAAACACCAGCTCTAAGGGTCTACACGCCGAGGGGTTCCTCCTCACTTGCAGCACCATCTCCAGGCCCACTAGCCAAACTCGGCGACACAGGCCTTTGTCAATCCCTCAAACATGCCATGCTCCTTCTCCGGTTGGAGTCTTTACTGGCCTGTCGGCAACCACTTTGGAGCCCACGGGTGATCCTCACCTTACTAACTTCTACAGGTCTAAATTTAAATGTCACCTCCTTAAGGAGGTCTTTCTTGATTTGTCCCCTTCCTGAGTCTAGATTAGGATCCTTTCTGTGTTTTCAGAGCACTGTCTTTTCAAAGAAGCAATTATGTCACCATTCAATTGGCAACTGCTCAACACCTGGTATCTTGATGGCTCATAACCTCCAGCAGTGTAGTGATGATCATGGTCCTCTTGGGCATTCAGGGTGAAAAAATGTCTGACACATAACAGGTGACATTCTGTCCAAGACTGGAACACTGTTCCAAGCACTTACTCTCAACTCACTTAGTCCTCATAACAAATTCCGAGGTAGGTGCATTGTAGTACCTATTTTGTAGACACAGAAACTGAATGATGTTTGCTAATTGTCCAAGGTTACACAGCAAACTCCAGAGCTGGAATCCGAACATCGGGCTCACATTTTTAACCACTACTGACTCTCCCTCCACATACTGACACTTAAATATCTGAAGAATGGCTGGATGTGTAAATGTGTACACTGGAAGCAAGATATGGAAGAGATCCCAACCTTGTCCTCTGATTCCATGCTCTTACCATAATCTAAAGGTCTTACCTTCTAACTTTAAGCAAATGAGTCTCTGAAACAAGCTCCCTAATTTCTACCAATTTCTTCACGAGAATATGTTCCTAGATGATTCTTCTAAAGTACCTACCAATCTGCTATTCAATATCCAGCAATAGCCCATGCTACCTACGATGTTAACTATACTTCATTTCGTTAGCTTTCAGGGTCTTCCTTAACAATGACCTACCATCAGGTCTGTTGTTTTCATGTTGTCTTAAATCCCCTCTACATAACCTCATGTTTACAAATACGAACTAAGCCATCATACTTGTGGAGTTATGATCTCACTCCAAATCATTAGGCATCCGTCTGCTGAAATGTCCTGCAAAACCATTACAAAGTAATCAACACAGCCCACTCTTCTTTAAACCCATACATGCATTTAACAACCTCGTCTAGCACTCTTCCTCTAAGCTATTTGGAAAATAAGACTCATATTTCTTTTTAATCCTCTAAATTTTCTAGCTCTTATCTGAGTACTTCATGAAAGAATCCAAGAAAATCAAAGACTCAAGTAAACAACTAGTCCAAAAGACTAGCAGACCATGTGAACCAGAGCCTCCACAGTCCTCTGGGCCCAGAGGAACTAGATGGTGCGTGACAACCACTACTGACTGCTCTGGTTAAGATCAAATGCAAGCTCATGGACAAAGTAGGTACAAAACATAAAACAAAATTCAAAAATCATTAAAAATTAAAAACAAAACTTTATCTATTGGTCTGCCCGTGAATGGTGGAACTCTTAAAATCTAGCCCTTAGATAATGATCAAACCTGAAACTGAACCCAATCCTGTAGCAGAGCAGCCCAGAAAGTGAACCCGTGTAGAACATGCTTCAAAGAACAATCGACCGTGGGATCGGGTACCAGACATCAAAGACACAGAAAAATCTTATCATTGTGAATGAGGGGGGTGCGGAGTGGGGACCCAGAGCCATCTGTAGAGAACTGGACATTCCCTTCAAGAAGGGTCACAAGGAAGAGAAGAGCCAGTCAGGGTGCAGTATAGCACCTATGAAACATACAACTTTCCTCTAGTTCTTTCATGCTTCCTCCCCCCACTATCATGACCCCAATTCTACCTTACAAATCCAGCTAGACCAGAGCATGTACACAGGTATAGCTAAGAGCTGGAAACACAAGGAATCCAGGGAAGACAAACCCCTCAGGACCAATGAGAGTAGTGATACCAGGAGGGGAGGGAGGGTAGGCGGGACCTGATCACACGGATTTACATATTAACTCCCTCCCAGGGGGACACAACAGAAAAGTAGGTGATGGAAGACATTAGTCAGTATATGACATGAAATAATAATTTATAAATTATCAAGGGTTCATGAGGAAGGGAAGATGGGGGAGGGAAGGAACAAATGTGGAGTTGATACCAAGGGCTCAAGTAGAAAATGTTTTGAAAATGAGACGGCAACAAATGTACAAATGTGCTTGACACAATGGATGAGTGGATTGTGATGATTGTACAAGCCCCCAATAATTTTTTTAAAAAAAGAATTGACCATTTGCTCAAAAACAAAATTTGGGAGGCACAAGGTGGACAAATGGAAAGGGGAACCCAGGAAGAAATACAAAGAATGCCACAAGACTGAGGGGATGGATGGCAACAAATGTCATGAAACAAAATTTGTACTGATTGTTGAATGGGAAATTAAATTTGCTTTCTAAACTTTCACCTAAAACAGGGTAAGATGTTTAAAAAAAAGAGTTCAAGAGTTATTTGCTAACTACTAAATTAAAGTGACGAAAATAAGTTCCTGGTTTGTATCCCATCCATAAGAAACTAAAGATTCAGCCCAAATGTATACATACACAACCTACATATCTTGGGAGCAAGGCATGGAAAGTAACAGTAAGGAAGAACTGGACTGAGCACAGAGATGAACAGGAGAGCGCTGGACCGAGGAGATGTGCAGGAACTCCACATAAGAGGCCCAGCCATTCGGCATAGACTTGTCAGCTCCGGAGAGCTGTTGTTCAGTCCAATCTGCTTCCTGGAGTCAGGAATAGGAGGAAATGGAAAGAGTATCTAATTGCTTCTATGAACAAAGGCCTCTTTTGTCATGTGACCAGAAGTTGATGGTGCCCAGCTACAATTACAAAACACCTCCATCGTACATTTTATGGCAGAATCCTGACCAAAAGGGGAAAAGTTCAGAACTGAATTCCAAATTCCCATGGAATACTAATTCGCTAGAACCACTGAGGCTAGATGGATCCCCAACTGTTGCGCTGAGATCATCTTTAAACCATAAACTGAAAATAGGCCCTAATGTCTTCAAACCAAACAAGAGCTCCGTTGAAAGAATGTTTTCCATGGACATTGTGGCTTTTGTTGTTTTTTAACTACATGACATCAAATTGACAACACCGACTGAAAGGTGAGCTAGAAGTACAGCACCGTGAGCTCGTGTTAATGAGGAGAACTCCCTTAGAAAAGGAGGGCAAGAACGGTTTCTATAAAACGTGAAGACTGTAACCAGTCACTGAATTGTACATGGAGAAATGGTTGAATTGATGTTTTGCAGTGTGCTTTCAAAAGCAATCACATACATACAAATTATGTGTGCGTGACATAATGTGTGATATAATAACGTTTTTTTTTAAAAAAGCATCCATTCCCAACTCAAAAGTTGTAAGGAATTCAAATTCTACAGCATTAAGGCAAGGAAGGCCAAAAAGAAGCCTGAAATGGAACAGAGGGCGAGTGTCGGCTCATGGGCACTGCCGTCATCTTCGGCAGGAAAGTGGTTCCCACTGACCTGATCTGCATCTGCATGCACTCCAGGAGACTGGGCAGATGGCACCTCCTGCTGAACTGCAGCCACAGCCCCGTTGGGCATCAGGATGAGTTGGGAGGCTAGAGGCACATTCCGGCCCAGGGTCCGGTTTACCTGCAACAGGTTTCCCAGCTGTGGCTGGCAAGGAGAGCAGGAAGAGCAGAGGAAAAGAGGGCACAAGGGAAAGGAAGATAGAAGAAATGAAAGGGAAGGACCACAAGACAAAATAAACAGAAGATATTAAACAGCTAAGCCCTGTCCCTCTCCACACCAACCCAGGAGCCTCTCAATCTCCACATGCACTGGCTCATCTGGATGAAAACCTAGAATGTACAGAGGACTGTAGACGGATAGCAAAGCATCAAACAAAACAGCAAAGGAGTCAAGGAGGGTTTCAGAACAAGTGCTGACACATAGTAAGTAGATGAGCTAAGCTCTAACATGTAGGATTTCTGTATTTGAGCCATAGAATTAAAGGTGGGTCTGCATTTGACCTAATCTAGTCCAATAGTAAAGCAAGCACCTTATAGCTTAGGATCTCGATGTCATTCCTCTACAGGCTACGGTAAAAACTGCGCATCACTTCTATGGGTACTTGGGGTCTGGAAAATGTGTCCGTTTGTCTCAAAAACACTTGGGTAACCAAGGCCAAATAAAATGGCTTTCATTCAAGTCCTTGTCAACGTCAAAACGGTGTCCCCCAAGACATGAATGGCTGTTTCTGTGGCTTACCCGTAGATACATCTGGGCCTGGGACTGGTTGAGGGGTGGGGAGGTGGTGTTCCCCAGGAGCACAGATTGGGTCAAGGTGGTGGCACTAGGAGAGCTCACACTCTGGGATCGGCTGATGAGCTGGGCGGCCGACGTGGTGGCCAGATTAATCTGTGCGGTACAGAAAGGACCCATGACCCAGGATGTAGGAGAGAGAAAGGAAACCAGACTTGCTCCCTGACTGACAAATTCACAGTGGCACACCATGACGAGTCACGCACAGACTATCTTACTTTCATGGAGTCACGGGCAAATGATTAGTAACTTCCTATCCTTATCTGTCACCTTGGCTAATTTGAGAAATTACCCAAGTGAAAAAGCAGCCCGCAGCCACCCATACACAGCTGAGAAGGTAAAGGATTGAAATGGAAGAAACTTTCTTGTTTTTCAATATAGGGTCAAGAGATTAACCTCTTACCTTTTGCTAATCTCTCCTCTATCATGAAGATTTCCTTCCTCTGTGCTAAAACCCTTATTAAGACTCAAGTTGGCTACATTCCCTGCTACTTCTGTGCTCACATAAGAGCAGTAAAGATTCACAGATGGCACGAGAAACACTCAGATCACTGTGTGAAGCAGTTCAACCCAGCGACCAAGATGCAGGGGGAGAAGGCCCTGGGAGGGGACCGGCAGTACTCACTGAGGCCTGGGTGGTGGTAGACTGCTGCTGTGTGGTGCTGGTGCTGGGGGAGCTGGCCTGCCGACTAGCAGCAATGGTGGCCTATTTCAGTCGGGAGAGAAAATGAGAAAGAGCAGAGACAATAAAGGGAAAGATTTTCTGGCTCTTTCTGTAATAAATCACAGCCAAAAAACCCAAAGTTCAGGTAAAATCACAGTGTCTACTCTGCATTATACAGAAGCCTCGTCACTGTCCTCGGGCCCTCATGTCACCCTCCTGGGACAGCATGTCCTCCTGCTTCCACTGGCTTTAGAGGTGAGAACCTTGGGTTGGTCACTTTGTGAGCCACTGGGAAGTCCAGCCCAGGTCTAGTTCAAGAAATAGACCGCAAGCCACTCATGTAATTTACTAAGAGGTCATTTTCAAAAGTAAAAGAAACAAGTGACATTAACTTAAAAAATTTACGAAACCCAATATATCTAAAACAGTTGTCAGTTCAACATGCAAACACTAAAAAAAATTACTAATGAGTTATCTTGGGGTTTCCCCCCTCCCATTTCAGCTTTGAGATCTAAAATCTTAAAACACGTTTCAATTGGCACAAGCTACATCTCTAGCACTTGATCGATGTCTAGGGCTAGAGGGTCCCATACTGAGCAGTGGCGTAGGGCATATCATTTTATCTCTAAAAGGTGATTTTCCTCTGTTCTTACTGCAATCCCAGAAGCTAAGGTCCACTCACCCTGTCGAAGGGTGGTAGCTAGAGAGACACACGCCAGTCTGGCAAGTGGAAGATGGACAATCCCAAGTCTCCCCAATCTACCTGATGCGCCTGTCCCCTCCCTCTCAGGCCAGCTAGCTGCTGACCTCTCACCTGCTGGACGGCGGCCAGACTATGCAGCTGAGCATTGCTGAGCTGCTGCTGGAGCATGAACTGGTGGAAATACTGAGCCGCGTTGGGCTGCCGCTGCAGTGCCTGCAGAGCCTAGGAGAAAGAGAACACGATCATTTAGAATGGGTTACTGCAAACTATGTGAGCACCGTGGTCTCCTGTGAACGGCAGCCCGGGAAAGGAAAGCTACAAAGGGAAATGGGAGAGGGGGCTGTATCATCAATACCCAATTTGTCCATTTTCATACAAGAGCTCAAGAAGTTCGTGGACAAGTTCATTATCGTTGATTGCACTTTTACAGGGAATTTTTCAAGTCCGGCCTCCCCCTAACCTCATCCCTTATATTAAAAATCACTTCACTGACAGAGTGCTCTGAACAGAGAATGCATTCAGTTCCGCCATGGCCTCCTCTGGTCTAAAGAAAAGAGTAAAGCAGTACCACTTACATGACCCCTTACTGCCCAGACCCAGGCCTGGAAATGTAGGCTAAAGCAAGGAAAAACTGATCCTAGACAGGCTGAAAGCACAGAGGATGCCGACAAATGTTCAGAGAAGAAAAAGAGGCCATATGCTACTACAATAAAAGTAATTAAGAGTCCTACAGGGGTCAGAAATAATGAAAAAATACAGCAAATCATAGCTATGAAATATTTTAACAAGTAAAATTCTCAGTTCATTTAGACTATCAGGTCAACTGATATTCATAAAACTAAACCGGACTCCTTCCCTGGGGGACGGACAACAGAAATGTGGGTGAAGGGAGACACCAGCCAGTGTAAGACATGAAAAAATAACAATTTATAAATTATCAAGGGCTTGGGAGGGAGCGAGGGAGGGAGGGGAAAAAAAGAGCTGATAACAAGAGCTCAAGCAGAAAGAAAATGTTTTGAAAATGATGATGGCAACAAATGCACGAATGTGCTTGACACAATGGATGGATGGATGGATGGATGGATGGATGGATGGATGGATGGATGGATGGATAGATGGATGATGATAAGAGCTATATAAGCCCCCAACAAAATGATTTAAAAAAAAAACTATACTGGAGTCCGGTTTAGTGTTAGCTGAATTCACTATATTCCTACTTTCATACTTAGAACTGTTCTTATGATGGACCTGACTACTCTACTTATGAAGATATTTTATTAAATGCAAAGCCAAACAATAAAAAGACCTGGAATTCAGAGTTTGTTTAAAAATACGGAAAGAGGGGCAGGATAGCTCCAATACTCAGGGTATTTGTAAGAAAAGGCCAAAGATCAAAAGCCTACAAAATTCACGAAGAGAACCCATTTCAATTTAGTTAAGTGAACTGAAGGGCCTAAAAAACTCACTTGCAAGACTGAACTTCAGTCTGTCTGCCAAACCTTTATAAACTCGAGTCAAAAGGGACCTTAATAAACCACCTAATCCAATGCCCTACCCACCTCATTTGGCTGGAAAGGAACTACGGCCAATTAACTTTCAACCTCCTAGCTGAGCCCCAAGCCAACACCTCAGAGATCACAGCTCCTTTTAGAGCTCAGACTCACCTGCACTGCTTGCCGCTCGTACAGTGACATTTGAGCTATCTGGGGCCGAGAGCTGCCCCCTGAGCTAGAACCACCATTAGTGGAGTTGGAGTTCTGCTCACTCTCAGTCTCCATGACAGAGGTCCAGGGTCCCCACGGCTGGTGCTCTGACTCAAGACCTAGGCAGAAGCAGCACAGGGTTAAAATGCACACCTTGATTCCAAACTGTCATTTCACAATTTTATTCACGATTCAATAAGGTTATCACTTAACTGAGAATCATCCTATTAAGCCTCATGATCTTTCCGATTTTGGAATTACCAAAGCTGCAAAACACTCTTACAAATAACTGTACTTTCCCCACGCCATCTTTCCAAGTTGTACAGAGTCCATAAGCAACAAGCTTTACATGGCTGGAAACACCACTACCACCCCCAACCTTGAAAGTCATTAAATAGCCAGACAGTAAGACATTAACTCACAGCACAAGGCCATAGAAGTTTGTAACAGATTAAAACCCTTTATCCCCACACTTTATCTCAATCGTTATCTTTTCAGCAGCATCTTAACAAGAGTCACCACTTACTGAGAAGCCATTAGGTGGTCCCTGTCATTGGGTAAGCTGCCTATCTGTATTGCCTCTGCCAGTGCTGTCAGATAAGTATTATCCCTAATTTACAACTGCAGAAAATGAAGTATTCTGAGGTTTAATTAATTGTCCATGGCCATACAACTAATAAATATATTCTTCAAACAAAAAATAAAGTGTGATCAAGGTAGTACCAGTCCGTAAGACTGCTTTATCATCTTCAGGTTATGAATGAAGACCTCGGGATAAAGATGTTCAATGGGTCGTGGAAGGATATAAAACTATGAGGTAGAAGCGCTAGCTTCTAACTCCTAAAGCCTTAAATAGTTGCCTGGGGTTCCAACTCAACTTACTGTCACCTTCCCCCCTTAACCCTCATTTCCCCATTTACAAAGACTCCACAGCTGATAAGACTATCAGATAAATGTTATAATTAAATGGCATACTGTAATATCACCTTTTAACAAATGGCTCACAAGGAGTAACACTAAAGGAAAATCATCAAAAACTAAGAATCAACTTTTTCAGTCTGCTTAGGCTCCGATTTTACCTTGTAGGGAGGGACTTCACTAAAAATTGCAGACACACGTGATAACACTTCTGTGAACCAGGTACAGAGAAAAAGAAATACACTTCACACAGTAACACTAAATGACAATAAATAACGCTTGCTTTTCTCACTCACTCTCCTTTGTTAAACCTTAGAGACTACGTCTTCTACTGGGCACGAGGCACTGGAGAGAAATCAGGTCAGCAAAGCACGATTTGGTTTAGGAATGTAAACATCTAACCAGAATTTCTGCTAAAGACTGTCAACAATTTTCCTTGATGAATGGATTTCTCATGGGATGGCATCTAAAACAAACGGCGCAAATAGAAATCAAACCACAGAGGCGCGGCAGTAAAGTTGAGGTCTCCTATTTCATCCCAGGATGCTCTGATCACCAACATTATCCCGCAAGAATTCTACCCATCTCTTTACGTTTCTTTGGGGACTAACAAATGTCACTGCAAACATGGAGATAATCCCAGATGAACACAGGAGATAGCATATCGGCTTCAACTCTATCTCCTCCCCACATCTTTTGCCAAAATATCAAAGCACTAAACAGATACAGACCCATGAGTCCTCATTATCAGCATGTGGGAAAAAAAATAAAAGTGGGTAAGGATTAGAGGCAGCATGGCATAGTTGTAAAGATCACTGGACTTAGTCCACTGCACTGAGACTAAGACTGCTTTACTTCTGTCTCTTTACTAGCTATAGAGCGACAATAATTCCTACATTTACGCGTGAAACGCCCATAAACTCTTTATAGCCCCAAGCCGTTTAGATTTAAATTCCGGCGGCGCCCCCCCTCCCGCCCCCCTCAGACTGGGACACGGGAGTAAATTAGTAAAGGACCAGCTTAAAATCTCTCAATCATCAGCATGAACTGACATCAGAAGCAGGCTGCCTGGATCCTGCTGCCGGGATTAGGTGGCCTGGAGTGGGCTCAGACTCATAGTGACCATACGGACACCCAAAGAATCACGGTTGAGTCCCGAACCGTCCTCCTCAGCGTCAGCACCTAAAAGCTATTACTTGGTGACCCATGTTTTGGGACCGTTAAGATTAAAAACAGAAAACTAAGACAACGAAAAGTTCGGGTGACACGGTGAATTTGAATTTTCGGAATGACACTAGCAGAGAGAGAAAGAGGTTGACCCATCCCCATCCCCAGGGTGGCGAAGCCACGGTCCCCTCTGGTGGATAGATGGGATGGCCTGGGCGCAGAGACCCAGTGAAGGCAGCTAGAACGGGTGTTAAAGGGGGGTCTGCTAAGTGGGTCCACGGAGTCACGAGTGGGAGGAAAGCCATTTTCCCGAGCTTTCATACAACTCTTGTCTTTGTAAAAAGGGCTGAGGACTTGGGGGTGGGGTCGCAGGGAAGACTGTGCCAAAGAAATGCAAGGATTCTGGAACATGGGGTTCCTAAACGCGTAGGAGTCCCTTGCCCAACACAGAAAACCTGAACGCAAAGGAGGTTCCAAAGCGATCGCACACCCCGGGGAGGCGGCAGGTAAGAGAGCGCGCTGTGCCGGGGGGAGCCGGCCCGAGTGAGCGCAGCGAGGTGCGTGTAGGCAGCAGGGAGACGGGCAGCAGGGCGGCAGAAGTGCGGGCACGGGAGGCTGGGAGCCCAGCGGGGAGAGCACTGGCCAGCACGCTCGGAAGGGAGAGAGAAATGAATGAGGAAACGGGCAGTCGGAGGCCACCACGCTGACGGACGGACGGACAGACAGCCTTACGCACGGCGAGGCGCCCGGCGAGAGGGTGAGGACGGGCAGCGGCGGAGGACGGACCGCTGGCAGCGCCCGGCGCCAGAGGTAGGCAGGGAAAGGACCCGGGGGAGGTACCTGGGGCGTCACACCAACGGAGGTGGCTCCGGAGACATCCCCGCGCAGCCAAGCCCCCCGAGGTCCTGCCTCGCGCCCGGCCCGCGGGCGCCCGGTTACCTTCGCGCCTGGCTCGGCACCCAAGTCCTCCCGGGGGGCGTTCACTTCACGCGCTGGGGGGGGTCCCCGTCGCCGGACCGGGCG